TTTATGTTGATCCAAGATAAAGTCGATGTTGATTCAACTATAAACATTTTGTTGATTTGATCAAATAATGATCATTTTGATGGGAATATATCTTTGAAACAACATACAAGTTTTCTTATTCAGATGTAGCAATGAACTTGTTTCGAACGGATCATTTGCTTGAATAGAGCAACGAAATATGTAATATCAATGAAATATTTTGTTCATTCTACATCAACTTAAATTTTCGTCTCTAGATGGCGATCTTTTCGCCCCGTCTATGCCTGTCACGAATTCATTATATACCTACGTGAAGCCTGATTCTTCGTGTTTGAAATATCAGCTGGATGATCGAACTTAGGATGAGGAGAAAGTAAAGACTGAAGATCTATGCTAGAAGTCGACTTGTTTCCTAGTTTTGTTTATTCTATTGATGTGAAATTTCAGAAAATTCCCGAATATTGAATTTGGTTCACCAAAATAATTTGTCGAATGGATATATAGTTCCTCTTGAATCAACAAAATATTTCATTGAATTGACCAAATATTTCATTGAATCAAACAAATATTTTTGATTGAATCAACCAAATATTTCGTTGAATCAACCAAATATTTCGTTGAATCAAACAAAATGATTGTTTGATCCAATTCAATATCTCTTTATAAACAATTCGTGAATGTGCTTGATTGAAGAGGATCCAGAGTTAATGCAAGACATATTTACTTGATTCAAACTTCAAATTCGCTCTGAAACAAGATAAAGATTTACTCATTTCAAGATTATATTTTGTCGTGCATATATGACACTTTTATTCGCTCCATTCAATTAAATTTTGCTTGATTCAACAATTCCTTTTTTTCCGTGTGGGGACGTACAGATTAGGACCGTTGACGTACAAAGTACGTACTGGGGACGTCCAGATTCCGCGCATTTGTACATTCCCCGTAAGTCCATTCCGGACCATCGATACCTGAATCAACGTGGATCTGCCTTTCTTACTAAGATAGTTGAAAAAAGAGATCTAGACAGAGTAGAAAAAGGATTTTCTTCTACAAGGTCCGCGCATTGATAACAAATTGCGGGGACCGGTCAGTTGGACCACGAGTACCTGCATTAATCCTTTTTTGAAAAAGGTTGAGTTAAGCCCACCCTGCAGTTCGACCAGGTTAACATTTTATGTTCTAATCTATTTAATAGAATTCTTCCAGTAACGTTCAAACGTTCTAGTAAGCATAATGGGCTTATATCACAAAACAATTTTATTTCATAATTCGATAGAACTCACCCAAACTAGCTCACCATCGCAAACAGTTTCTTGCTGTGAGCTCCCTACGTTTTATAAAAAATTATTGAAATCCCCGATTTTTCGGACCTCTGAAAACGAGGACATGATGAGACGTCAAAATCCTAATACTGAAACAAGACTATTCCAGACAGAGATGAATGATACATGATTTCTGACAGAGTGAATTAGCGCGAGATCACAGTTGAAAGAATTAATATATCAGTTGCCTCAGTCTCCGTCGGGCGTTTTGTATTTTCTTTCAACTATGGCGAGATGAGGTTTCTACGTCATAAGAGGGTCCGTTTTCAAAAGGTACTATTATTTATGTCCAAAAATAAATTATTCCAGTTAACTTTTTGATCGAATTATTTCGTCAATCATTATTTATGTATATATAAAAGGATCATTGTAAACATATGGTTTGAGTTCAAAGTTCTACTAAGGTGTACACGCCCATTATCCTTCATAAGTATCTAGTTAATTTAGTTTTTCTACAAACTCCAAAAAATGACAAGGTTCGCGCATTGATAACAAATTGCGAAGTGACTATTATATACCTGTTGCTTTTTGCTTGTTACCAAACAAGAACAGCTCAAGTTATTTAAAATTATTTCAACTGTTGAATGAAAAATGTAAAACTTTGGATCTGATATTGAAACCTTCAACAGTCATTGTTGATTTTAACGGCAATTCATAACGCTTGTTCAATAATGTGGCCGAATATAAACTCATATAAACAAAGAAACTCAAAAATAGGCAATTTTCTTAAATTAGTTTTTTGGCTTCCATTTTTCAGACCCTAATGTAGTAGGGAACTTTTTTTTGAAGAAATGCATTCAATAAAGCCCAGTAATCCAAGTCATCGAAATTTCGCGATTATATCGTAGAAATTTATATCTATGAAGAAAGTAGTTTTCCCCCAAGTTGGGCTTGATGTACTACAGATAGTATGTACAGGACCACAAACGCGTGTGAATCATTTCATTCTCATTATGATTCTAATTTTTATAGTTCTGACCCTAGTTTTTTAAATTTTTTAAATATCTTAATAAGCTTTCAAGCAGAAACATATATTAAAATAAATTCCGTAAATGTTCCATCAAAAAACTAAAAAGTGCAACACAGAAAAAAATTTATTTTATTAAAGCTAAGATATCTGAATATAGAAATGGCCTTTTATCACAAGAAGATTTTGTAAAAATTATGTCTTATTATAATTCACCTCGGTAATAAATGATATATATGTTAAGAAAATAGTGATTGTTTTAATTCTTAGAATACAACCTTAATCCGCTCGAAGAGCGGTCGTGGTCCAACTGATCGGTGTTCTTAAAACAGGTACCTTGCCCGTGGTCGAACTGTCCGACTCCCCAAATTGCGAAGTGACACTTCTTTTCAGTTTCCTACGTTACCTTTATGGTCCTCAATCGAGCAAACATCCACGAAATCTTTTATTTCTGAATGTTCAACAATAACTTTGTTTTATCTCTTGGAGCGCACGAAAGGAAATTCCTATTATGTTCGTGGAACATCGTGCGTAGCTAGGGAGGACAGGGGGAGGCCTTTTAAGCCAGTTCCACATTATTTTTCATATCAAGCTAAGTATATTTTCACTTTAGAACTATATTTTTTGACGATTGTGTAAAAAAATTTTGTTTGCAACCCGAGCGCGAAATACTCTGGTCATCTCGACTATTTTCTTAACTCGACTACGCCTCGTTGAAAAAATCAGATCTCGATCACCAAAGTCATTTCGCGCTCTAGATACAAAAATAATAATTTTGGATTAAAAATAAAAAAAAAGCGCTCGCTCCTGTGCTTTAGATTTCCAGGAAGATGATCTACCTACTCTCTTCAAAATACCTATTGATATGAGTCAAGTGAGGGTTACTTAGCTCTCTGCACGTATCACACACACACCACGCCCCCCGAAAGGTTGAATGCCCAGGATCAAATGCCGCCATATAACTAGCTTACGTTATATGATAGCTCCCCATCCCCATGTCCATCCACCCCCACTCACTAACGAGTGGACTTCAACCTTATGCATTTGGCAATCTGCATATGTTTTATAAAACCCCTTACTTGGTTTCAGTCTTCCGACTTTTAAACCTTTTTGTCTAATGTGTGTTTCCTAGCCTGACTTTGCGTGGTGGTTCCCTACCCTTATGGGAAGCAAATTTGAGTTTATGTATTATTATTATTGGTTCACATGTTTAAAGGGTATCAAAGGAGAGACTCTTCTGTTTAATTATCTGATGATTATTATGCTACTTTTATTGATATTGATCCACTTTCGTTTGTTTATCTCATATTTGGATTTGCATGGTGAATTGGGCGCCTGTACTTTATTCTTCCGAAGCGCGGGTCTTGATTTAGTTGTCTATTAGTCAGGTCGTACAGTAGAAAGTTTTCGTGGGTTTCTGTTCTTCCGAATGTAGTCTACGCGTGTTGTCTTATGTAGTTGTCTATGTAGTCTGGGTTCATGTTCAGGTCCCTATAGATAAATCTATTTGGGATGTACCATGGGGCATTTACTGCCATTCTTATTGAGGCATTTAGAAATGCCTTTTTGTATGTCTCTGCGCATTAGCGCCATGCACTTGATGCATACAAAATTATTGGAAGTAGAATGGTTCTCATTAGACGCAGCTTCAACTCCAGAGCCATGTTGCTTCTGCGACCTATTAGAGGCTGTAGGATTTGCCTTGCGGCTTTACCCAAGTTTAGTCGTGTTGTAATGTGTTGTCTGAAAGTAAGTTCGTTATCTAGGGTTACCCCTAGATATTTTGCCTCATCTGCCCATGGTATCTGCGTGTCGTTTAGTATTACGTGTCCTGTGGGTTTGGTACGTCGTCTAGTGAAGAGAACAGCTTGGCTTTTCTCTGCGTTAATTTCTATTTTCCAGTTGTTAAACCAGGTTTGTAGTGTGTCTATTTGTTCTTGTAGGTATCGTACTGTCATGTCTGCGTTGCTGGATCTGGCAATTATATTGCACGTATATATATACCCTTGATTTATATACTTACCAATAAAGGGCAGTGTTGTATTTCGTGCAAGATAATTTATTCAAATTTATTACTCGTAACAGAGCGCTCTCGACTGTTAAGTCATCATCAGTGCATACCTGTAAGTAGGTATATAATCTGCTATTAGCTATTGGAAAACTTTGGAGAAAATTGGAATATGACGCATCTCTCCATCAAATGATATCATGATTATTCTCTGTTGAATTTCATAATTGTGACGACTGTGATTTTTTTGGTAAGCATTGCAGATGACATTATTTCGACAAAAAACTTAATAACTCTGATATGATCGAGATATTATAGTCAACGATATTATAGGAGTTGATGAAGGTCACAGAGATGGTTGTGAAAAAGTGCATATACAGGGCATTCTATTCAAATAGAAGTGATCCTGACCGCTGACCCTCTAGATTCTTGAACTGCGTGCTACAGGCTGGAATAATAATGGAGAGCGAATTCTTTTAGTTCACCTCTTGAACGAACAGACTGTTATACAAATTCAACTGAAAAATCTAGATAATTAGGTGGTGAATGAGAATTTGTTAACAAGGGTCAGTCTGTGGTGGTCCACAATTTTTCTCTCCATCAGGTATTCACTTCGAAAAAAATACAGCGCGGTTGAACAGGAACGAAAATTGTGAATCATTTTTTATATTTATCTCTTTCAACAAAAAATAGTTTATAACATTTCTGTCTTTTATTCTAGTCAACCAGATTTTCAGACACTACGTCAACTTGACTAGAATAGAAAGAAATGGGGTGGAAGTATGGAAAGTATTGAACACTGAAATGTTGGGAAATTACCAAACAGGTCACTTCGATTTCCAAAACCTCCAAGGCGGATCAGATCGCAGAAGGGCGGACATATTGTTGAGGATCAATAATTTATATCCACAAATCATCGAGAATATCCGCTCGCAAATTGACGACCAACTTACTACCATATTATTCGACCGTAATACTAGAAGCATCCTGGATGGTGCACCAGCAGATGAGTTGATGATCTGCCCAAATCCACACCATGGGAATATCTCAAGAAGATTATCATCTGGCACAGAAAACTGATTCGTATTTTTTGTTTATCATAATAATAATAATGATAACACTAATATTTATATTGTTTAGAAATGAGAACAAATAGATACAGGGTGAGTCATGAGGAACTGTACATACTCCTACCACGAATAGAGGCTCGTTAAGGAAATACCTTATGACCCTTAGAAAGTGTCTTTTCCTCTTCTTCATTAATATATATATATATATATATATATATGAAACTTAGTAGTGGGGAAGCAGCAAGTAAAAGTGAAACTCATGCAAGTTCGTCCAAGCTTTCGAAAAGTTATATTTCCATCATCAGGGCCAGACTACAAAATGTTATAACAATTATAAGCAAAGCTAGTTGACTAAGTGGTGCAGTACTTACAACTCATTGAGGTTGGTTACATTGATGTTACTAACAAGGTATGTATAAATAAAAAAATGTTTGTATAACATATCTGGAACATGACAAATTCAAAAAATTAAAATATTAGGTCAATATCAAAAACGTTGTTGATTAAAAATCATGATGAAACTTTTCTTTTCACAACGTGTGTCAGAATAAAAATCTTCGGCTAGGAAAACTGAACCTTATTCTTCACTGGTGACATGGAGCTTAAGTGTGATGACCTTGGTCTTATGGTACCTAGTGCTATTGTGTGTTAGTCACAAGAGTATTGGAAGGAGAAAGTTTCTGAGTTACTAGTAAAACTGGTAAAATTCTTGCAGGCAATATGTGCATCACATCAAGATTATTAGAGAGTTGTTTTTCGTTGGTTATGTTGAGTTGTTATTATTTAACACCGTATTGGGGTTATCAATTGATAAAAGATATGAATAAATTTCACTCAGATGGTTAATGTCCGATCTTTTGTTGATACAATTTGGTTCTTGGGCAATGAAAGACATTTCCAAAAACGTTCTTTTTTTGTGGTTACTTTCTGTAGCTAAAATTCTTGCTGATTGAAAATCCATTGTGTGATCAGAGGAATTTACATGGTCCGCCAAAGCACATCTTTCTGGATGAAGCCTACAGTCGCTCCTGTGGGATGTGATTCTGTTGGCTAATGATCTCTTTGATTGCCCGATGTATATTTTATCACAATCCTGACAGGGGATGCTGTACACCACATTCGTCTGTGCAGTAAGAGGTACTTTGTCTTTGACTTTGGTGTAAATTGATCTGATTGTTAAAACTGTTTTATTGGCAATTTTTAGGTTGGGATTTGGAAGAAAAATTCTTGTGAGTTTTGGAGTTAAATCTGATATGTACGGAAGTGAAGAAAAAATTGTATGAATTGGAGGAGTATCAGTAACCACAGTCTCATGCAATTGATTGTTGATTTCAGGTGGTGCGGTCTGTGTCATGGGTGCACTGTGTAGAAATTTTTTTGACTTATTGTGGTGGATATGAATTTTCTATGAATAAAGATTGTAAAATATTTAAATTCTTCCTGTGAAATGATGTATCAGAAATTCTGATTATCCTGTTCTTCATTTGTTTTAACAAATTCACCTTCATGTTCTGTTGGTGGAACGAGTTGTAGTTGAGAAATCTGCCTGAACTGCAAGATTTGCGATACCAATCGATTAGGACTATATTGTCCCTCGATCTCACTAGTCTGGTATCTAGGAATGGGACAGCTCTGTCCGTATCTTCAGATTCAATGGTGAATTGAATTGCTGGATCATAGCTATTGAAGGTAAACAGAATTTCTTCTATACCATCTTCAGGAAGTGAAAGGATGATGTCGTCCACATATTTTTTTATGAAGAAGAGATCAAACGATAACACTGGAATTATTGTGTCTAACAGGTCATCCATTACATAGGCAGCGAGAATTGGTGAAATCGATGCACCCATCGGGGTGCCAAAAGTTTGTTTATAGAATTTGTTGTTGAATGAGAAATATGTATTATTGAATAAAAAAGTGATGAGATCTAGGAACGACTCTTTAGTGATTGTACAGTAGTTATTGATACGTGACCAATTTTTTTCAATTGCTCTCAAGCAAGCATCTAAATAGACATTGCTAAAAAGTGACACAACATCTAAGCTTGCTAAAACATGTCTCTGTGGGAGTTTTATTTTGTTAAATTTTTCTGATATCTCGAAAGAATTTTTTATGTAATACTGATTGTCTTGATCATAAGCTCTTGTCAAAATATCTGTAAGGTAAGCTGCAATAGCTTCAGTGGGTGCTCCTATTGATGCCACTATTGGTCTGACTGACAACGTTGGTTTATGTATTTTTGGCAGTGCATAGAATTTAGGAGATATTCCATTGACCATAAGACCAAGGTCATCACACTTAAGCTCCATGTCACCAGTGAATTGGAAGAATAAGGTTCAGTTTTCCTAACCAAAGATTTTTATTCTGACACACGTTGTGAAAAGAAAAGTTTCATCATGATTTTAAATCAACAACGTTTTTGATATTGACCTAATATTTTAATTTTTTGAATTTGTGATGTTCCAGATATGTTATACAAAAATTTTTTTATTTATACATACCTTGTTAGTAACATCAATGTAACCAACCTCAATGAGTTGTAAGTACTGCACCACTTAGTCAACTAGCTTTGCTTATAATTGTTATAACATTTTGTAGTCTGGCCCTGATGATGGAAATATAACTTTCCGAAAGCTTGGACGAACATGCATGAGTTTCACTTTGACTTGCTGCTTCCCCACTACTAAGTTTCATCTCTAACTTGTCAGCAACGACTTCCCTTCTCTAATCGACTGATTTATTCAAAATCGGGAAAATCTAGGACGGTTTGTGACAAATTTCGCTAATAGTTCAGTTTATGTCAAAAAGTTTATCCTGTGTATATATGGTTTCTGTAAACTGTGACTGGGAATTTCCAAAGGTCACAAACAAACATCCAAAATAAAATTTTCAAAATTTTCCCCACACTTTCACTGAATTTATGAAAAAACAATGAATTCTGGACGAACGGTCCTGGATTTTCCCGATTCTGGATAAATCAGTCAATTAGAGAGTATAGTAGAAAAATATTCCATAAAAAAAAACAGAAGAATCGAAGAAGATGTTGAAGAGTTATGACCAGAAGATGTTTTTGCCAAATCCCAAAAATCAGCCTATATATTACTGAAGGAGACAGTTACTGATGCAGTTATTATAGGTTCCCCTCAGGGGATCTATTTTTGGTAGAAGTACCTATGTACAGTTCCTCGATCATGACTCAACCTGTATAAGTTTCACAGGATTGACCTTCATTCATTTTATTAATTTGTTACAACTCTATTAAGATACAGAGGTTCACAATCCAATAAAACCATGTTTTACATGACAGCTCGTCGAATCTTATAAGGTAATGAGTAAATATTATGATACTTGAAGTGTTTGAATTTTTAACAATTATGGGATCTCATGTAGGAAATATTTCCCAATTTTTTTTCTGCATGGAGGTGAATAAAAATAAACAGTGAATATCAATACTAATATGACTATACTATGATATAACATTTATTTATATCAATTTTGTGGGAACACCCAAAATGTCAGAATATAATGCATCAAAATATAATTTATAAGAATATATTTCATCAGAATGGTAATTCGTAGGTACCGTAATTGATAGTTACTGTATTCTGTAAGCACGTTTTTCATCGCTTTGTAAAACATAGCTCCGTAATTTGTAGGTATGTATTATAACAAAACGTGATTCGTCAAAATGTAATCCATCAAAATGGTATTCGATAAGAACCGTATTTGATCATAACAGTAATTCATCAGAACAGTATTTCATCATCACGGTAATTTATCATAATCTAATTCTATCGTTAGGGTATTCTATCAGAACCGTAATTCGTCGCTTCAGTAAAACATCAGAATCGTAATTCATCAAAATCGTATCGTATAGGAACTGTATTCCATCGTCACATCAATTCATCGGCACTGTATTTTATAGTTTCAGTAATTCATCGGAACCGTATTCCATCGGAACTGTATTCTATCAGAAACATATTTCATCAAAACTGTATTTCATCAGAACCGTATTCCATCATCACCGTATTTCGTCAGAACCGTATTTCTTCAGAACCGTATTTCGTCAGAACCGTATTTCGTCAGAACCGTATTTCGTCAGAACCGTATTTCGTCAAAACCGTATTTCGTCAAAACCGTATTCTATCAGAATCGTATTTCATCAGTACAGCATTCTGTAAATACACTAAATATCCAATTATTACAGATAACTCCATCACAGTTAGATGCACAGAATATTTGTGTTAGTACCGCCGAATGCATATAGATGCTGTTCAGGGTTTGTTTGGGATGATTTTCGATTGTTTGATGAATCAAACTACTGATTGAAACAAACGCAACAAGCACATTTTTTACTAAATGGAACATTGAATGTCTTCGCGATAATTCAACATATTCTGCTGCCGTGTTTTCATTCTGAAAATGAATATTTCACTATTATAAGTCTAGAAAATATCGAAGAATTCCCCATGCTTCCCATTTGACGCAAAATGTTTGGGAAGTTTTCCAGTCATATTCCTATAACGCTAAAGAATATACAGGGTGATTCAGGTTTTAAGGCACAAACTGAAATGGGAGATAGATCTCATCATATTGATCACAAAAGTTCATACAAACATTAGTCCGATTTCGTTCAGTAGCGGAGCTACAGGGGGTCAAAGTTTAATTATTTTTTTTATCAATTGAACTATCTCGCTTACTTTTCAAGATATCATTCTGAAATCTGGTGTAGTCAATACTTTCTAGAAGATCATCATTTCAAGCATTTTGAAGATTTTCAAAATCTACAGGGTGATACGTTTTTGGAGGTAGAGACTTTTTATCCCCTCCAAACTTCTTCGTAGTACGCCTCTGGCATATTTCAGTCAAATCAGTCAAATTGTGTAGATCGTTCAATTTAGAGGCTTATTTGATCTTTGATTTTTTCCGATAAACGAACCGTTTTTGAGATAAATATGCATAAACGTTCTAAAACATGTTGGATTTATAAATTAAAAAAAACAGATATTTGTATTGATAGTTTACCTAACTTCAGGATGATACGGTTTAAAAATTTTTCAAAATAGTAGAATTTTTTTTACGGCAACTTTAGAGAACTAAAATAAAAATGACTTTATTCCCTCCGTTTCCTCGTTACTTATCCAGATTGGACTCGTGATTTCAATTCTAGTGAGTACATTTCATCGCATTCTCAACGAATTTTGTCAAAGAAT